GGTGCCCGGGGGTGGGGGTGGGGGGGCATGGAGGCCCCGTCGGTGGCTGCTCGGCAGGGGGCCTGCACTCGAGGAGAGCCCGGGGCGCCTCACCTTTCATCCAGCTTAGCGTGTACTCCCGTCGGCAGAGGGCGCTGGTGCAGTGTGACGTGTAGAAGGTGCCGTGGGCCTCCACCAGGTCCTCGGGCTCCAGCCCCGCCACCCGCTCCAGGGTGTCTATGTTCTGCAGGGAGAGGAGGCAGCGGGAAGAGGCTCAGCAAGGAGACACATCCCTCCGGGGCAGCAGGCGGAGCGGGGCGTTGCCAGAAGCCCGCAAGGCGCAGGGTGTGCCTGTAAACTCCTCCGGCCGCCCCGGTAGTGCCACTGAAAGTGTCGAAGTCGCAGATGACTCAAGGTGGGGCCCAAACTCCTCTGTCTGTGAGCCCAGGCCCACGGCCACCGTCAGCCCGCATGGGGTTCTTCTGCACACTCAGACACCTCTCCTAACATCTTTCCGGAAATTTGTTTTGTCAGGGCCGCACAGCGTTAGTGCCACCTGCCAGAAATTTGTCGAAACTAACCTACAAACCTACAATGCCTCCGTTGTAAATAGAACCCCTCACATGTGGCATCCTTGTGCAGTGCGCAACCTGCACAGCTGTATGTGGCAGGCCTGGCCAAGCAGCAACATAAAGGAATCAGGAGGGTTTATTTGGTTCTTTGCCATCACCGTCTTCCTACTTAGCAGCCGGCTTTCTCGCCGGGGGCTGTTTCGGAGATGTCATATTAACTTGCGTTCTTTTAAGACACAGGTATTCTCCGTGTCAGATCAAGCAAGGCTATTCTTCTCTTCCACAGAGACATATGTGCTCTCATTTTGCCTCGAGCACGCAGCCCCTTGGGAGCAGCTTTTGTTTGCCCGCGAGGAATGCTGTAGAGGCAGGTGGTGACACAGCACACCCGCAGACGCCACACAGAGACGGCCGGTCACGTGCGGCCCGCAGCTGAGACTCCGCGAGCAGCCAAAAGGATTCTCTTTCAAGGGCAGACGGCCCCAGCCGCTCTCTCTGCTCCCTGCCAGCGATCAGCCTGTTCCCCAAATGCACAGACAAGAGCCACTGTTCCCAGACTCTCTGCAGCCTGTCCCCTCCCCCTGCATTAGTTTTCCCTTTGTTACTTGACTCCGTCTACTGCCTCGCTGGCTCGCTCGTGAGCCAGCAGTGTGCATGCAAATAAATAAAGGGCTTGTAAAAGAACTACTTAAATGCCTCTGTTATTCTCTCAGGCCACTTTTGATAGAGAAACCACAAACAAGAAAACAACGAGGCTGACCTGTATGTTCCGATATTCAAATGATCTCTCCAAGATGTTAAAAGGCACAGAAGAACAAAGGCTATGGGAAAACTATATATGAATGTGTCTATTTGTTTGCCTACGTATGGAATTTTTTTTTTTGAGAGAGAGAGGGGGAGCAGAGGAGGGGCAGAGAGAGGGAGAGAGAGAATCCCAAGCAGGCTCCACACTGCCAGCATAGAGCCCGACAAGGGGCTCGAACCCACGAACCGTGAGATCGTGACCTGAGCCGAAGTCGGACGCTTAACCGACTGAGCCACGCAGGCGCCTCTGAAGTCTGGATTTTCGTCTGGAATCTCTTGCTTTTTAAACTTTGGCTCACTTTTTGTTTCAAAACACCGTGTCCCCCCTGATGGACACGAAGGCAATGGCAGCTTTGAAAAAGCTGGGGCGCCTGGCTGGTTCAGCTGGTGGAGCGTGCAAATCTTGATCTCGGGGTTGTGAGTTCGAGTTCTCACGCTGGGTGTAGAGATTACTTAAAAATAAAATAGAGGGGCGCCTGGGTGGCTCAGTCGGTTAAGCGTCCGACTTCGGCTCAGGTCATGATCTTGCGGTCTGTGAGTTCGAGCCCCGCGTCAGGCTCTGTGCTGACGGCTCAGAGCCTGGAGCCTGTTTCAGATTCTGTGCCTCCCTCTCTCTGACCCTCCCCCGTTCATGCTCTGTCTCTCTCTGTCTCAAAAATAAATAAACGTTAAAAAAAAAAATTAAAAAAAAAATAAATAAAAAAATAAAATAGAAAGAAAGAAAGAAACAAACAAACAGAGAAAAAGAAAGGAAGAAGAAAAAGAAAGGAAGAAAGAGAAAGAAAGAAAGAAAGAAAGAAAGAAAGAAAGAAAGAAAGAAAGAAAGAGAAAGAAAGAGAGAAAAGAAAGAAGTGGCTATGGAAGGGTCTTCCACACAAGAAGCTAAAGAAAGCCAAGTACAAGCCCTGTGTGGAGTGTAGGTGCCACGTATATATTTAAAGGACCAGAAGCTGCCTTGCTGTGGCGCTCACAGTGGCTTGAGCCAACAGGGCGAGCGTTCTCATGTTTGAACGGATCCTTGTATCTTGAGATAAAAATAGCGTCATGCGGAGCTCCAAAAGCGCTGTGTCATCGCAATTCAGAAAGAAGTGAAGACAATGTGTTCCAGAAAACTGGGTCAGTGACTCAAAAAGCGGCCGAGGTTGACGGAGAGGGTGACAAGTGTGAAAGGCAAAGAACGGTTTCGTGACACATGAGGGGGGAACATGGTTCTCCACGTTTATCTGCTTTCTGTAACAGGCCCTTCTGGAGCGGCAGGTGCAGTTAAATCCGTGCACGAAATACCGCGAGTGGGGGAGAACCGCCCGCGCCCTCCCCCGGACCCCGGCGCGGATTTATGCCGGTTTCCACGCACACACAGCCTGCAGTCCGCTTGCTTCCCAGGGAGGGCTCACGGGGTTCTGCCTCAGGCACAGCCGGGCAGTGACCGCTCAGGGCGGCCTGCCGGCTCCACCTTCAAAACAGATTGGTAACCCGCACACTTCTCCCCTCCTGGGCCCCCACCCTGGGCCAGCCTCCATATTCTCCTGCTTGGACCGTCGCAGCAGCTTCCTCCCTGGTCTGTCCCCTATATGCAGCCGGAGGGACACCTGGCTCAGGTCCCGTCCCCTGTCCTGCGGCACCGTCCTACTCAGCAGCCCCCAGATCCCCCGCGGTCTGTCCCTGTCACCTCACTGAGCTCGCCTCCTCCATTCTCTACTGCCGTCCTCTCTGCTCATTCAGATCCAGCGTCTCGAACACGCCGAATACGGTCTCACCTCAGGACCTTTGCCCTGGCTGTTCCCTTCGGCTGGAACACACTCTCCCCTCCAGGTCTTTGTCTAAATGGCCCCTTCTCGGTGAGGCCTTCCCTGACACCTTGTTGACAAGATGTCCTCCTTATCCATCTTGCCCAGTGTCTCTCTCCCCACATGAGATGAGCAGCTCTGGGGGGGCGGGGATGTCGCTGCCAGCAGGGCCTGGCACGGGGCCTGCGCTCTGTAAACACTCGTGGCGGAAGAGGACTACCAGGGCCGTGCTGCAGATTTCAGGCAATCGTGCCCGGAAGGCACTGGGCTTCGAGTGAGCGTTTTGTATCATGTCTGAGCCACGTCCCGTGGATAAAACTGACTCTGGGAAGAGAGGTCGGGTTTTTGCTGAGCCGGGGGGGGGGGGGGGGGGGGGGTGTCCTCCTGGAAGGAGGCGGCTGTCCCTTCCCCGGCTGCCACCACCAGCCCTGGGCAGCTAGGCAGGAGCGCCTGACCCCATCTGAGAAATCTGGACTTAAAAATTCATCCTCCCCCTGGTGGCAGCCTCGCGGGCTGCAGGCTCCACACAGCCAGGTGCGGGGAGAAGTATTAGGACTCCCGTTCACGCTCAGGTATTCTCTCTCTTTTATGATTTTGGGCTCTGAGGTCTCACGTAGAGCGTGATATCACTGCTACATTATGTAATGGATTAAAAATAATTGTCTTAATGTCTTTCTTTTTGAAAGAGAGAGACGGAGGGAAAGCAGACCGGGGAGGGACAGAGAGAGAGGGAGACACAGAATCTAAAGCAGGCTTCAGCACCGAGCCCGACACAGGGCTGGACGCAGGGCTCAACCCCACGAGCCGGGAGATCATGACCTAAGCCAAAGTCGGATGCTTACCCGCCTGAGCCACCCAGGCGCCCCACATCGAGTAACTTCAATGCGTATTCACAGGCACTCGTAAAACACGTATTCATAAAACGAAGGTAGAGGCGCAGTTTTTACCGTTAGGGGTGCGAGACCCCCAAAACATCTTGCTGACTAGTCCAGAAGCCAACAAGGTGAGCCGTCCTTGCCAGAGAACCCCAGGGCGAGGCCTTGGCTAAGCACCTGACACGCGTGAGCCATGGCCTGTGGCATGTACAACGCCTTAGGGCACATTATTCAAAGGTGCCCCTTCCTAACGGCTCCGTGTCCAGCAGTTGCAAAATGGTCATAATGCACAGATCCGGTTAGACCGAGTCACTCCGTGGCCGGGTGCGGAAACTCCTAACCAAACACGAGATCTACAGTGCCCGTGGCAGCCCCCAGACGTGAGGTCCTGTCTCACTACGCACGGGATGGCTCCCAGAGGAGCTCGCTGTCGTGCCACCACGGACCCGAAGGGTGAAGCCGTCCTGGCCTCTGCTTCACAGAAGGGGAAACCGAGGCTGAGAGGGGGTAAGGGACGCACTGCGGGCCAGGGGGCGGGGCACTGAGGCTCCAGGACCACCCGGCCAGCCCTCCTCCCAGGGACGCCCACGGCCGCCTACCTGCGTGTAGCAGCGCAGAAGCAGCCCTTTCTCCTTCAGCAGGCGGATGAAGTAGTGACAGACGGTCGGCTGCGGGGGAGCAATGGGAACATCGTGATAATGACACAGCACGTTCGGCATGAGCCAGGAACTGTTCTAGGCGCTCTGGCTGTTTTACCTCATGGAACCGTCACACGTCGGTCTGGGGGGGGGGTTGGGGGGGGGCATGGACCGCCACCAGCCCCATTTCACAGACGAGGAAACTGAGGCACAGCTTGCCAGATCGCACAGGTGCAGAGTTGGGATCCGTACACAATCGGCCTGGCTCCCGTCTGGGGTCTTACGTGTACTGTTAATTCAGGTAAGCCTTCCAAGAGGTTTCATAGGCTATCATCAGCTTCATTTTACAGATGAGAAAACTGAGGCTCAAGGTCACAAGGGCAGGAAGTGAGCGACCAGGAGTTGGACCCAGGCAGCCTAGGGCCCATGCGACATTTGTCTGAGAGGCCCCAGGGGAAGCCTTCCCATGCCTTGCTGTTCCCCCAAGCTTTCCTGTCCACCAGGGAAAAGAGAGCTCACCTTGAACTGTCCAGGGTAGAGTTCCTTGGCAAGAGCAAAGAAGGGCTCTGGATGTTTCTGTGGGAGAGAGAACCGGAATCCTGATGGTGCGCTGAGCCCTGCGGTCAGGGGATCCCTTCCCCCCACCATTACAGACGTTCCTCCCCAGGCAACACACACCTTGAAGTAGCCAATCTCAAAGATGGCCTCCGGGTAGGGAAGACGGTATTTCTCCAGGTTGGCGTAGAGGCCCGTGGATGGGGAGCGGAAGTCAGGGATGCCCGCGGCTGGGGGAGGAGGGGCAGGGTCAGGGACCTCGGCCCCATCTATACCACATCCTCCTCTGTCAAGGGCCCAGACGTGGCTCCCCCCAGCCTCTGAAAGGGGGGCCCCCCAACGTGGGAATGGCTACTGGGGGAAGGGAGGCACTTACACGTGGAGATCCCAGCTCCCACCAAACAGATGACCCTGCGACCTGGAGGAAAGGAGTTTATGCATCATGTGACAGTGTGCTCAGCCCCCCAATGACAACGTCCTAGCCCCCAAGACTGTTTACTCAGTCTTGAGAGAGAGTAAACTCTCTCAAGTTTAGCCAGGCCCTGGGGCCAACATTTCAGATGCATGGATGGCCTTCCCAGTCACCTCGAGGCAGGGGGAGTTAACGCGCCCATTATACAGATGAGGAAACCAGGGCTCAGGGAGAGCAAGGGTCACACAGTCAACCGAAGGAAGAGCCAGCATGGGGACAAGGAATCTACGGGTTGAAATGATGCCAACTTAGATTCGAGAAAAGGCCACTCAGAGGGAAGTTTCTCCTTCTGACTAGTTCTAGAGAAAGCACACGAGATCTTAGTGAGAAGGCTGGGGGGCACAGGTGTCCTGGCGAAGAGCTACGGCTTATTGTAAAAAAACCTCTGGCCACACCTCACCTTTTTTTCCCCCTTAACTGTTTGTTTGTTTTTGAGAAAGAGAAAACACAAGCGGGAGAGGGGCAGAGAGCAGGGGAGACACAGAATCCGAAGCAGGCTCCAGGCTCTGAGCTGTCTGCACAGAGCCCGATGGGGGGCTCCAACCCGCGAACCGTGAGATCATGACCTGAGCCGAAGTTGGACACTTAACCAACTGAGCCACCCCGGCGCCCCCACGCCTCACCGTTTGGACACAGTCTTGGATGACCATCTATTTCTAGCATATCATACACATTCTTTCCTGCTCACCGGTGAGGAGGGAGGTGTCTTAGTTCAGATCTCCCCTCTGGGCTTCAGCTTCCTGCTCTGTAAGATGGGCATCCTTACAGTACTGACTTCACGGGGCCGTCGAGAGAATGAATTCATTCATGTAAAGCTTAGATCAGTGCCCGGCACTGAGCAAACACTATATACGTGTTTCTGTTATTCTTTTGAGTCGATTGTACTTCGTGAGACCCAGGATTTGTACACATGTAGGCACTTTGTTCCGCCATTTCCCCCAGCTTTCAGAAAAGAAGATAGGAAGGGGGGCCTGGGCGGCTCAGTCAGTTGAGCGCCCGACTCTTGATTGCCTGACTCTTGATCTCGGTTCAGGTCATGATCTCCACTGTTCGTGAGATCAAGCCCTGCATTGGGCTCTGTGCTGACAGCGTGGAGCCTGCTTGGGATTCTCTCTCTCTCTCTCTCTCTCTCTCTCTCTGCTCCTCCCCCTCTCAAGATAAATAAATAAACTAAAAAAAAATTATAAAAAGAAAAGAAAACGGGAAGACACGGTAGGAGTTAAATCATTTCAAAAATACTCGGGGCTGTGCAGAAATAGTCCTATCGCCTCGTCAGCTGCTGGCTGGCGGACAGCCCTGCCACGCGGTACCCTGGCACCTGCCCATCGCTGATGGACAGACACAAGTGTGAGGCCCCTGAACTGGCTACCTCCGGTGTGTCCTGTGAAAAAGAGGACGGCAAGGGTGACGAGGCCCTCCGCTCCGGGATGCCCTCGGGCCAGGCACAGCTGGGGCCAGCTGGGGCCACACGGGAGGGAGCACGTGGTCTGGATTCAGGGGGCCTGGGGTCAAGTCCTGACTGCCTCTTGCCAGCTGTGTGACCCTGCAGCCAGTCACGGCCTCTCTGGGCCTCTGCTTCCTGCTCTGTCCAGATCACCCTTGCGATGACCTCACAGGTACAATGTGAAGATCAAATGACGGGGCGCCTATCAAGTGCTTAGCTCGGTTGCTGGCATATGGTGAGGGCTCGGTTAACTGCTGTCCTTTACTGTTGCCCCTCATAGGCGGCCTTATAGACAACTGTCCTAAAACCCAGGTGTAGGAGGACGGAAGGAACAAAAGCTTTGTGGCCAATTCCTGTGTTCTCCATGGGGCGCACCCTGGCCAGGAGGAGCCCTGCAGACGGCTGGCCGGCCTGCCCCGGGGGAGGGAGGCTCAGGGCACGAAGCCTGGACGCCCGAGCAGGGAGCAGGCAGCAGCCCGAGGACAGGGAAACGGGAGAAGACGTCCTCAACAAAAGGCTGTTCAGGACCCTCAAAGGGTCGATTGTTCTAGTTGAGGACTGCCGAGGGCCCGGTTTCCCAGACTCTGGTGACCTCAACTTGCGAGAAATATACATGACACTGACACGGTGACCTAGTAGAGAGGCACCCACGTACCAGCCCTGAAACACGCTTCCTGTAATACTTGTCATAGGGTCCGCGGATCTTGCTCTGTTCCGGGCCCTCTTCCAGACATTTCCATCTCTGTTAATTTATGGCACCCTAAGGACCCTACGAGGTATTCCTATTGGCATCACCTTCATTCTATCAAACAGGCCCGGCCGATCAGCAATGGATGTGTGACCCGGGTCTGGCCAATCAGAGACACGGAGATGGGTTTTGGGATAGGAGTCTGACCCAACGTGGCCCCAACTGGAGCCACTCTCTGCTCTTTGGCCTGGACCATTTTGCTCGAACCACTGGAAGAAAGATGCCCTCTTCGGTGGGAGGGGCTAGCCCTGGCCTTCGGGACTGCCAGGTGCCACCTCTACCTCAACATGAACCCCGGACGGGGTTATTAAGGTTTCTGACATCATGGAAGCCTCTGAATCCAGCAGTGCTCAGTGCTAGGTTTTAGTTAGAGGGGCGGCACCCTCTTTCCGGTGTAATAAGCCGTGTGCGTTGGGCTCCTCGTGTTACTTGCCAACAAAAGGTGTGACTGGCGAATGGCTCAAGTGGCCGGGGCAAAAGCAAGTCAGGGGCAACGCAGGCCCGGGTCTTACAGCGCTCGCTCTGCATGTAGCGGGTCACCCCTTCCAGGGTCAGCTCGTCCAGCAGCCGCTCCTTCTGGGTGCCCAGGCCCAGCGTCTGGGAGAAGAAATGCCGCAGGAAGTCCACTGGCCAAAAAGCAGAGAGAGAACAGCAGGGTGGGCGTTCAGTCGGGGTGCTCAGGGGCCCCGTCCCGGGATCCCCCACCCCCCCTCCCGCAACCAGGGACCTCGGGCGCTGGCTCCGCACCCATTATGACATACTTTGAACGTCACCTTCGGTGGCGGCGAGGGGCAGAAATGGGATCCCTGCCCGAGGCGGCTCCCCCGGGACCCTGTTCCCGGGGAAGATACTCACTCTCGGCCTCTCCGCCAGCCGCTCCTCCCTCAGTGTCTGAATCTGAGTCCTGGAAGGGGTGGGGGTGGGGTGAGCAGGCCCCAGAAGTGGGGTGAGGGAGGGAGGAGAGGGGAGGGTGGCACCCGGGTCTGGGGGAAAAGCCTCCGGCTGGGAGTGGGCCCAAGGAAGTGAGGTGCGGTGGGGGGCCGGCGTGCGGGCTCTGGGGTGGGCTGCCTGGGCTGGAAACCTGGTCCTCCTACTCCCGAGGAGCGCGCAGCGGCCTGTGCGTTCCCGGCTGTTCTGAGCCTGACGCTCTGTATCTCGGGAATGGAGCTCGGAGGGCACTGCCTCGGAGGGCCACCTGAGATGAAGTGGTTAACCTACGAGAGGTGCTCCAAGCAGCAGCCTGCGGGGTTCTGGCACCCCTGCAGCCCTCCTCACTCCAGTCTCTCCTGTGAATGATGCCAGTAGAGACGCCTTGGTCCTCACCCTGGGGCCCTGGGCTCTCCTGCTCGAAGCCCCGGACACCACCTTTCCGACACATCCATCTCATTGTATACTCCTCCCCTCGATCAGGCCCCCAGATGGCGGGTCTGAGACTCTGTCCTGCGCCTTCCCTACTTCCTCTCTCCACCTTTCCTGGGCTAGCTGCCTCATGGCCTTGGCCCGGGCATTGATGATGCTACCTCTTTGTCCCTGGATACCGGGTTCCCGCAGCCTCCTGGATGCCTCCCCTGAAGTGACCCCTGCCCTCTCTTTCCCACTGTGTTCCAAACTGGCCTTAGCATCTCTCCTGAACCTGTTCTTCCTCCTAGGTCCTAGCTCAGTGTGGCTTCTGTCCCCGAGTCTTTGTTTCCTTCTCCTGCCCTCCTGCCATGATGTGTCCCCCTGCCCAGGGCTCCACCTGGGTCCAGCCTGTTCCCCCTCCGGGGTCCCTGTCCTGGCCTCCTCCCTGAGCTCCCAGCCTCAGCCTTCACCTCCGATCTACTCGATGGCCCTCGGGGTGATGGCCTGGCTGTGTCAGGCCACCACCCCCTCGGCTCCAAGGGCCCCTCTTACTGGCTTCTCCAGTCTAACCGTCCAATCACCCCCGCGTATGGAGTCTGCCATGATGTTAGCTCCAAGATGGCAGGGACTTTTCGTGTTCACCGCCGGATGCCCAGCACCAACCAACAACAGGGTCTGGCCCCTGGCAGTTGCTCCAGAACCATCCACCACTGAACGAACGGATACCTGCTGTGCGCAGGGCTGGGTCCTGCAATGGACCGCGCAAAAACCACAGTTCTGACCAACCCATTCTCCTGCTTAAAACCCCTCCGACCAGCCCCTCCCCCATCATTCTCTGCTCTGGTTCCAAGCCTTTTTGAATAGGAACTGCCCTTCCAGACGTATTTACATTTTTTTTTTTTAATTATTGCTTTCTAAGATTACATAAGCTTTGCAAAAACTCTGGCCATTAGACAATGTACGACTTGAGACGCTTGCCTCGAGTTCCCTCACCCACCCCGGGTCAATATAACCACTATTAACAGCAGAATGGCAATCGCTCTAGATTTTTTTCTCTGCCTATAAAACTCACTATTTTTCCAGAAATGGGTCCTACCATAGTACGATGCTGCACCTCGCGGTTTCCGCAGAACAATATACTATAGATCCAGCTCCTCCTTTAAAAAAGCTACATAGTGTTGCATTGTAAGGACGCACTATACTTCATTTAACCCGTCTGCTGACAGCCATTTGGGCTGTTTCCAGTTTTGGCCTGTCACAGACAATGCTGCAATTTACATCCTCGGATCTCTCTTTCTGGGACTGAGGATCCCTTTTGAACATTAAACCTTTTGCTGTGACAGTGGTTGAGCCCTAGGAGCCAGGCGAGGGAGAAGCCCTGGCCTGGCAGGAGGCTTTTACCCCCTCAGCGTGGCCCTGCCCCGCATCTGTCAGGGGCTTTAAGCATTCCAGCTTCGGCGCTGCCCTACATCTGAACAGTGATCTCGCGTCTGTGGGTGGCCTGGCATTCTTTCAGCAGCGGACAGTGAGGCACTGTGGAAGGACTCGAGGGCCCTGCCCCGCGTGTGGGAGCCATTTGGCCTAAGGGGGAGCCGGAGGTGCTGGTGGGGCCTTCAAGCCTCTGTGAGGTGTCGTGTCTACCTCTCCCTGAGGTGTCTGGAAGGCAACGTGCCAGGTGCTGTAGGTTGCAAAGCAGTCCCTGCTCTTCTAGCTGGGGGACAGAGGACAAGTCGCTTAACAGCTCTGCCTCGGACTCCTCATCTGTAAAATGGCCACAATAGGCCTTGCTCCCCCCAGGGATTCTGGGAAGATGAAATGAGATGATGTACACAGAGCACTGAGCAGAGTACCTGGCTGGAATAAGGACTCAATAAATGCTAACCTCGAATATAACAAGCTAACCACTCCCAGCCACCTGACTGCTGACCACATTACACCCTTCGTGTCCCCCAGTCTTTGCACAAGCTGTATCCTCTGCATGGAGTGCCATTTCTCACTCTGCCTAAGAAAATTCTAAGTCACTCTTCGCTCACTGTGATGCGTCTGTATCTCAGTCTGACTCCTAGCCCAGCCTGTGGATTCCTCCTGGGAAGGGACTGGCTGGAATCCCTGTGGCCCCACAAAGTTTACTCTTCCTCGAGCTACTTTCAGAATCACCCTGTAGGGTCATTTTCTAGTCACTTGTCCATGAGATCTGTGAGTTCTGTGATCAAAACTGGATACCTGTCTCTTCCATGCCCAGCATAAATGAAGTTCAGAAAGGACAGGGGTAGGGGGCAAGGAAAGAGAAAAGTTTGGGAGGGCAGGCCTGGAGTTAAGGGGGCACACCCCTCTCTGACAATTCCCAGAATCCACCATTCCCCAGGAGGCTGAACCGGGAGGTGGGGCAAGGGACTGGGGCAGTGAGCTGAGGGCCCTGGGGTAACTGTCTCCCCTCTGCCACCTCCCCCCCAGTGTGGGGTGCGGGAATGAGTCCATCTCTCTCCTTCCCTCCACCCTTCCCCAAATCTCACCTGAGCCTCCTGCACCTTCCCTGCCTGGGTCTCCAGAGGGTCAGAGGCTGGGGGAGGAGGGGGAGCAGACGTGGTTACAGTGCGGGGCACAGTTAAGGGGGAATGAAGGGCTTCAAAGCAGAAGGGCAGGGGGCAAGAAGACCCACCAACCTAATTATACTGGGATGGGAGGTGGTGGCAAAAATGGAGCAGAGGGAGGGAAGGGATGGAGGGGGAAGCAGATATTACAGTGGACAGTACTGGCAGGAGAGGTGGTTAGTGAGGGACAAAGAGCCTGGGACAGGAAGGTTTAGGAGAGGGAGGAGAAAGTAAGGCATACAGGGCAGGATGAGGACTTAGGAGAAGTGAGGAAGGAAATAGTGAGTGAGTGAGTGTGTGTGTGTGTGTGTGTGTGAGCGCGCGCGAATCCAGGGAGGGTTAGGTTTACAGAGGGAAGTTTGAAAAGGAAGACAAGAGATAAGAGATACTCTGACTAGAGACGAATTTAGAAAGTGAGGTGCAGTGGGGATGGTATGTTTATGGGGGACGCAGGAACTAGAGGGAAGAGATAGGAAGGGACGCCAGGGGTCCCCTAGCATCCTACAATTCCCCCTAACAACCAGGTACCCTTAGCAACCGGGTCTGCGGCAATCTAAATCCTTAGCAACGAGGGTCCCCAGCAACCAAGGTGCGAGAAACAGGCGATCGTTAGTAACTTGGGGGACGTGGCAAACGGACCCTCAAAATCTCGCGACCCAGAAACCCAACAATCTAGCAGGATGGATCACTTGGCAACGACCTCCCGTACCCCCAATCCCACTCTCCGCCATGCAGTCCCAACCTCCAGCCCCACCATGCCCATTCTCGGGCCCCGGGGCCTGCAGCCCTCAGCCAGGCCCCGGCGCGGCCCGACCCTCCCACCGGGGCCCCCGACTCACGGTCCGGCTCGGCCATGGGCGCGGGGCGGGGGCCCTCGGTGCTGTCACCGACTGCTCTGTCCCGTGACGGCACCGGAAACAGGAGGGGCAGAGACCAGGCAGAGAACTACAACTCCCGGCAACCATCGCGGATGCATACAGGCTTTCACACAACGTCCGGGGAGCGGCTCTTAAGTTAGAAAGACTTGCGGACAGGAGGACTACGAGTCCCAGAGGGCTCCGCGCCGGCAGCCATGTTGGTAAAGGGCGCCCGGAAAATGTGGGAATGGGTAGAGAGTCGCGGTCCATCTGAATACTCTGATTGGTCAGGGTGTGGTAAGGGGGCGGGGCGCGTACTCTTTACCTCACTCTGATTGGATAAATCAGGGGGAGTGTTGGGGAATTCCCCGCAGGGCGGAAGCGCCAGGACTTCAGGCAGAGCTTAGTTATAGGCGGGCGGCCGCTGGGACCCCTGAGGCGTCGGGGGCTATGGCGGGGGTCGCGTGCTTGGGGAAAGTTGCGGAGGCCGACGAATGGTGCGACAGTGGACTGGGCTCTCTGGGTCCGGACGCAGCAGCCCCCGGAGGACCGGGGCTGGGCGCCGAGCTGGGCCCGGGTCTGTCGTGGGCGCCCCTCGTCTTCGGCTACATCACTGAAGATGGGGACACGTGAGTGAACCTTAGGCTGCCAAACCGGGCCCAAGGATCCGACGTCTGATTCCTTATTAGTCTCTGAACCCGGCTTCCTAACCTTTCACTCCTAAATCTGACTTGTGATGCTTGACTTTCTGATCCCTAACCGCCAAGCCCTAACCTCAGTAAAAGCAATTTACTGTCCAACTTTGATCTTAGCGCCTTAATTTCTGATCTTCCTTTCTTGAACTCTGGTTCATAGAGAGCTCCACATCCCTATCCATTGATCCCAAAACTCTATTGATCTTCCTGACCTTATTCCTGAGACCTTTGTTAGAGCTGTAGTTCAGACACCCCCCCCCCCCCCCCCCCCCCCCCCCCCCCCCCCCGACCTCCTACCTCCAAATATGATCTTTGATCCTTAGCTCCTGCTTTATGAGCCTGGGACTTAGATTTCCAAAATTAATACTTGGCCTTGACTCCAAGATTCTACCTTCTGAGCACTGATCTTAAAATCTTACATTCAAAGAGAAAACGTAAGCTCCATTATAGCAGGGTTCACGTGTGAAATATTTATTGAACACTACCAGGTTCCAGGGCCTATTTTAGGTGCTGTGATAAAGCAGTGAAGAAAACGGACAAAAGCTTAAACCCTTGTGGAGTTTGCGTTCCAAGGGTGGGTATATCGATAGGACAGATGGACTGACAGGAAGACAGGAAGGAAGCGGGGAGGGAAAAAAGGAGAAAGAAGGAAAGAAAGGGTCCGAGAAGGAAAGAAAGACACAAAGTGAGAATGAGCGAAAGAGAGAGGAAAGGAAGAAAGACAGAAAAATGAAAACAATATAAAAGAAAGGCAGGGAAACGGTATGTCTGAAGGTAGTAAGGTCTTTGGGAAAAAATAAAGCAGGAAAATGAGACCAGTGAATTATTTGGGGGGGGGAGCACTCCATGTAGAAGGGACAATGGTTGTAAAGGCCCCTGTGACGGATTGTACTGGGTTTTTTGTTCATTGTGTTCACTCTTCTGTCCTCAGTGACCGAACAGTGCTTGACCCATAATACGCACTCAGGAAATAGTGATCTTTTTGAAGAACCAGCTTAGGTTTCATTAATTTTCTTTATTGGGTTTTTGCTTTCTATTTCATTGATCTCTGTTCTGACTTTCATTCTTGCCCTTCTTTTGCTTACTTTGGGTTTAATTTGTTCTCTTTCTTTTTTTTGTTTCTTAAGGTGCCAGCTGAGCTTATCCATTTGAGACCTTTCTTTTCTAATATAGGTGTTTCATGCTATAAATTTCCCATAGTACTGCTTTAGCAGTCTCACAAATTCTGATATACTGTGTTTTCATTTTCATTTAATTCAATATACTTTCTAATTTCTCTTTTGATTTCTTCTTTGGCCAGTGGATTATTTAGAAGTGTGTTATTTAGTTTCAAGGTATTTGGAAGGTCTTCCAAATGTCCCTTTTTAAATTGATTTTTTAAAAAGTTTTATTTATTTAAGCCCCTACACCCCATGCGGGGCTTGAACTCATGACCCCAGGATCAGGAGTCACATGATCTTCTGACTGAGCCAGCCAGGTGCCCTTTTTTTTTTTTAAATTGCTTTTCAATTTAATTCCATTGTAGACTGAGAACATACTTTATGTGACTTGAATCCTCTTAAACTTATTGAGAATTGTTTTATGGTGGAGAACATTATGTGTGCACTTGAATGGATATTCTGTTGTTGGGTACAGTGTTCTCTATTTTTTTAAAAAAACTTTTTAATGTTTATTTATTTTTGAGAGAGAGACAGAGACAGAGAGAGTGCCAGCAGGGGAGAAGCAGAGAGAGAGGGAGATACAGAATCCAAAGCAGGCTCCAGGCTCCCAGCTGTCAGCACAGTGCCCGACGCAGGGCTCGAACTCAAGAGCCATGAGATCATGACCCGAGCTGAAGTCGAATGCTTAACCGACTAAAATTTTTAAGTAATCTCTACTCCCAACGTGCGGCTCAAACTGACAACCTAGAACTCACAACCATGCTTTACTGACTGAGCCAGCCAGGCCCTCTGGCTTTACTAACTTTCTCTTTGTTCTGTTATTTAAATGGTTGGCCAATTGTGGCCTCCAGGCAAAATCTGGCCAGCCATCTGCTTTCGTAAGGCTGTGAGCTAAGAATGGTTTTTACATTTTCAATGGTTGAAAAAAATCAGAAGAGAAGAAGAATATTTTGCCGCAAGTGAAAGTTATGTGAAATTCACATTTCAGACTGCACAAAGAAAGTTATGTTGGAATACGGCCATGCGGGGTCATTTATATATTGCCAGTGGCTGCTTTTGTATCACAAGTGCAGAGCTGAGTAGGTAAAAAGAGACACGGTAGGATCCACAAAGCCTAAAATCTTTAACTGGCCTTTATAGAAAAAGTTTGCTGACTTCTGCTTTTTTGGGCTTATATGTCATTTCACATAGGGTAAAAGATGAAAGAACTTTAGAAGAGAATATATTTCCATCTGTCCCCTCCTGGCCTCGACGTTATTGTTGCCATACATTCCACTTACACGTGTGTCCTAAACTCCCCCATACTTTGTTAGTATTTTTGTTTAAACAGTCAGCTATTTTTCCAAATTACCTTCTGAAGAGCCTTACAGTAACAAGAGAAAAAAAATCTTCCATATTTACCCACATAGTTACTATTTTCAGTTTTCGTTATTCTTCTCTGTCAGTTCGTATTGTGGTCTGATGTCATTTTCCTTTTGCTCGCAGATTTCCTTTAATGTTGCTTTGGCGATATGGGTCTGCTGCTGATGAGTTTTCTCGGCGTCATTAGTTTGTCTTCATGTTTGAAAGACGTTTTCGCTGGGTTAAAGAATTCTGGGTTGACTGTCTTTGAATACTTGAAAGTGGTGCTCCGTTGTGTTCCCTTGCCTTATTTTTATTTTTCTGTACTTAAAGTAGTTTTGCCTCTGGCTCGTGTGAAATTTTTGTTTTCATCATTGGTTTTGAACAGGACTTTTATGTTGGGCCTTTGCATAGGTTTTTTTTGTTTTTGTTTTTTTGTCTTTTTGTTTTTTTTTTTCAGTATTTCTTGTTCTTGGGAGTCATTGAGCTTCTTGGATCTGTGGATTTGGAAAATTAAATTAAGTGTCTGACTTCGGCTCAGGTCACGATCTCGCAGTTTCTGAGTTCAAGCCCCGCAACCAGCTCAGTGCCAACAGCTCAGAGCCTGGAGCCGGCTTTGGATTCTGTGTCTCCGTCTCTCTCCGCCCCTACCTGCTCGCAGTCTGTCTCTTTCTCTCTCTTTCAAAAATAAATAAACGTTAAAAAAAAATGTTCTCTTGTGTTTCATTAAGAATAGCTCTTATGGTGAAGTCTTCAAGTTTGCTAATCTTTTTTTCCTGTGGTGTTTAATCTGCTACTAATCCCACCCAGTGTATTTTTCATTTCAGATGCTATAGTTTTTATCCCTAGGAGTTTGGTTTGAGTCTTTTTTTTTTTTTTTTTTTTTTTTTTTTTTTTTTTTTTTTTTTTATCATCCATGTCTCTACTTAACTTTTTGAATGTTTGAGATTCACTTATAATGAACTCTTTTAATGTTTTTGTTCGTTAATTCCAACATCTGGGTCATTTCTGGGTCAATTTCAACTGATTGATCCTTCTCATTATGGATCATGTTTTCCTGCTTATTTACCTACCTGGTAATCTTTGATTAGATGCCAAATATTGTGAATTTTACCTTGTTAGGCCAGCAAGTTGTGGATTCCTATAAATACTGTTGAGTGTTGTTTTGGGATGCAGTTAAACTACTTGTAAGCAGTTCGGGCTATCTGGGCGGCTTGGTTGGTTGAGTGTCTGACTTCTGCTCAGGTCACGATCTCACGGTTAGTGAGTTTGAGCCCCACATCGGGCTCGGTACTGATAGCTTAGAACCTGGAGCCTGCTTGGGATCCTGTGTCTCCCTCTCTCTCTCTGCCCCCCTTCCTCACTTGCCTTCTGTCTGTCTCTCTCTCTCTCTCTTTCTCTCTCTCTCAAAAGTAGATAAACATTAAAAAGAAAAAAAAACCCAACTACTTGTAAGCGGATTGATCCTTTGGGGTTTTGCTTTCATGATTTGTTGGGTGGGTCCTGAGCAGCCCTCATCTAGGGCTTATTATTCCCCACAACTGAGGTAAGAACCTTCCAGAGTATTCTACCCAAGGTCCTTGGGTTTTTCCTAGTCTGATTGGTGGGAACAGGCATTATTCCTGGTCTCCTGTGAGCGGTGGGCATGTTTCCCTAATCTTTTTGGATGGTTTCTTCACACCCCTGCATTAATCAGCACTCTCCCAAATACTCGAGAGGCCCCTCTGTAGACCCCCCAGGGTCTCTCCCTGTTCAGCCCTCTCCTCTTGGGTTCTCTGTCCTCTGACTCTAGCTGCCTGCCTTCCCCAGCCTCCCCTCCTTCTTGCCTCGTATGCAATCTGCGAGGCCCCTCTCTGTGCGGTGTCTACTCTCAAGATGGTAAACTTGGCAATCAGTTGAAGGGCTCACCTCATTTTGTTTCCTCTTTAGGGATCATGGTCATTCATTGCATGAGGACTAGTATCTGGAAAACTGTTGCTTCCTATACCATAGTTTGTCAGATTTTTTTGGTTGATTCAGATGGGAGGGAAATCTGGTCCCTGTTATTTCGTCTTGGGAGGCAGTAGAAGTCCTACTTAATACACACCGATTAGGGGCGCCTGGGTGGCTCAGTTGGTTAAGCATCCGACTTCAGCTCAGGTCATGATCTCGCGGTTCGTGGGTTCGAGCCCCGCATCGGGCTCCACGCCCACAGTGCGGAAGCTTGCTTGGGATTCTCTCTCTCTCTCCCTCTCTCTGCCCTTCCCCCACTCTCACTTTTTCTCTCTCTCTCTCTCAAAGTAAATAAATAAACTTTAAAAAATTTTTAAAAACCAAAGCACTGATTAAACAAATATGCTGACTTAACTGACCTGACCCTCCTAGATTCCTGACAGTTGGTTCCAGACTTCTGTGCTCTGCTCCCTGTTTTTGTCTTCAGGGCATTGCACCTGGCAGTGATTCATCAGCATGAGCCCTTCCTGGATTTCCTCCTAGGCTTCGCGGCTGGCACCGAGTACCTGGACTTGCAGAATGACCTGGGCCAGGTGAGCCCCCCGGGGACAGTTTAGGGCTTGGGACTGGGTTCTCCGTGCACCCCCTGATCCCTGCCCTCTGCTCCCGCAGACAGCCCTTCACCTGGCAGCCATCCTGGGGGAGGCCTCCACAGTGGAGAAGTTGTACGCGGCGGGTGCCGGGTTGCGTGTGGCGGAGCGCGGGGGCCACACGGCACTGCACCTGGCCTGTCGCATGAGGGCACACGCCTGCGCCCGTGTGCTACTCCAGCCCCGTCCCCGGTGCGCCAGGGGAGCCCCCAACACCTACCTCGCTCAGGGCCCCGACCGCACCTCTGACGCCGACCGCCTGCCTGTCGCCTCGTACCCCGACCCCGACTCGGAGAAGGAAGATGACGAGAGCGAGGAGGATTGGAAGCTGCAGCTGGAGGCTGAAAACTATGAGGGTGAGGGGTTCTCAGGCACCGGGCAGGGCTCGGGCTCCCAGGCGGAGCGAGAATTCCTGGCTCTGGGCTCGGTTCTCCTGACTCCAGACCCAGCCCCTTGGGGAATAATACCGAGGCTTCAGGAGCCCAGGCATTGGGAACGGTCCCCCGTCGAGCCCCAGATTACTGAGACTTGGTCATGTGGAGCTCGGAACCCGGACCACTTGGGACCCAGACCTGTCACCCACAGGCCTGGAGCCACTAAGATCCGGTTGTTGGGTCCAGCTTGCCCAGCCTGAAGGCACAGCTCCCGCCCTCTCACCAGCCACAGGTTCCAGCCCGCCCGGGACGAGGGAACTGAAGGCCCAGGTTCCCAGAGATTGACACTGGGTTCAAGGACAGCCCTCAGCCAGGCCTCATGAGAAAAAAGGCATCTGAGTCTCGGCTCCCCCACCTCTAAGCCCGACTGCCTGGACCTAAGCCCCTTCCACAAAGGGACTGAGATCACCCAGGACCCTGTGTCTAGGGCCCTCTCCACCTTCCAAGGTCGCAGGCCCTTCAACTACTCGGGACCCAGGAATTTGGGGTCCAGGCCCTTTGTGAAGTAAAGACCAGAGACTCGGTCTCCTGGTCCCAAGATCCAGGCCTCCTGTCCAAAGCCCCCAGGCTCTTCATCCATAAGCCCCAGACATGCCACAAGCCGGGCATTGGCACCCCCAGTAAGTTCCAGACCACCGAGACGTAGGCATTTGGGCTGCAGAAGCCTGTTTGACATACCCAGGAAATCAGGAGCTGTACCCCAAACTCAGTCTCCTCAGGCCACAAAGCCATCCCCTGGGACCTTGGCATTTGAGGCCCAGGCCCCTCACCCCCATCGTCCGACACCTGTCGCCCTATCCACAGGCCATACCCCGCTTCACGTGGCCGTCATCCACAAAGACGCAGAGATGGTCCGGCTGCTCCGGGAGGCTGGAGCTGACCTCAACAAACCGGTGAGCTGCCCTGGGGAGAGGATGTGGCAGGGAGGCTTGGCCCCCAGAGTGGGGCAGGGCCTCCCTGACCCCTCTGTTGCGCCTCGCAGGAGCCCACGTGCGGCCGGAGCCCCCTGCACTTGGCAGTGGAGGCCCAAGCAGCCGACGTGCTGGAGCTTCTCCTGAGGGCAGGGGCCGACCCTGCCGCCCGCATGTATGGTGGCCGCACCCCACTGGGTAGTGCCACGCTCCGGCCCAACCCCATCCTCGCCCGCCTTCTCCGTGCACATGGAGCCGCCGAGCCCGAGGACGAGGATGACAGACCCGGCCCCTGCAGCAGCAGTAGCGACAGTGACAGCGGGGACGAGGGCGTGAGTGGGGGGCCAGGACCGAGCGGCCCAGCCGGGGGGTCAGGGTAAACGGGCAGACGGGAAGGGGGAGAAGAGACATTAGGCAGCACGTTGAGACTGACCTCGGGCTGCTGTGATTCGAGAACTCGGGCAGCTGTGCAGGGAGACCTGGGCAGGGGTGGTGGGGAGCACGCGGGTAGTGGTGGTGGGGAACCGAAGGCAAGGGCAGAGGTGGAACTCGGGCAGAGTTAGAGAAAAGACCTCGATCGTGGTGACTGATAATGGTACTGGTTGGCAATGGTGGCTGACAGCGTAGGGAGTGATCTCACAGGGCAGGAGTCGGAGAACTCAGGCTCCGGGAAGCACTGATTCCAACCCTGGCAGCAGTGGGGAGAGACCTCCGGTGAGGAGGTTGCATTGGAGAACCCAGGTGGCAGAGACCCCACTCTGGGCAGGGACGATGTTGGGGGGGCGGCGAGGAATCTGGGTAGAGGCAGAGGGAGGGGGCGGAGGAGGGAGACCCCAGTGGCTGTGGCTGCCTAAGTACTGGCAAAGCAGTGGGGCCGGAGCCCAGGCAGTGGTGGTGGGAGAACACAGGTGACCTTGAACGTGGTGTGTGGAAAACTAAGAGCAGGGAAGTTGAAGGATGACTGGGCGAGCTGGGGCTTCGAGACAAGACCCAGCTGTCGGGGTGGGTGGAAGCAGCTGGACAGCAGGCGGGGTGACAGCCGCCTGAGCCCCTGTGCCTGCCCCCTTTGTCCCCAGGATGAATACGACGACATCGTGGTCCACAGTGGCCGCGGCCAAAACCGGCTACCTCCCACCCCAGCCTCAAAACCTCTCCCTGATGACCCCGTCTGACCTCATTGTTAATAGGATTTCCAATTTAATAAAATCCCAGTTCTGACAACCAGAGACCGTTCCCGGGTCCCCGTCTGTCTAACATCAAGTGCCACACGAGCCTTAGCGGTTTTCTTTGTGCTTTATTCACTCGGCAGGGTTGGAGTGGGTGGCCGGGTGTTTCCCGAGTCGGTTGGAGCCCAGCCCCTCTACCCAGCTCAGACTCGGCCCCTCGGGCCTCGTCGCGTGGCACACCTGTCCCCCCATTCCTTCAGGCTGGGGAACAGAGTGGGGTGTTAGGCGAGCTTTGGGGGTCAACAGTCATAAGCCATAGGGTGTGTCAGGAAGGAGGACGCGAGGTCGGGGGTCATCCCTCCCTCCTGATCTCCTCCCGGAGAAGCTCCGTTGCCTTCTTTAGCTCATCTCGCACGTGCTCCAGCCGCACCGTGTCATGCTCCTGGGGGGATCAGAAACGGGTTGATCAGCCCACCCATCTTCAAGGGCAGGCCCCCTCAGGAGTCACCCACGAATGTGGGCCATGTCAGTTTGCATGCCGGCAGCCGGCAGCGGTCCTCTAGTCCCCACGGACTGCGGTGGTGACCGCAGTGGAAGAGTTAGACTGGCCAACGTGGCCAGCGGTGCAGTCTGCGTGGACCGCCACGGCCAACGACAGCAGGTGGGGCTAGTAAAGGGGCCCTGACCCATTTGTGAGGTGCTGGCCGGTTAGGCTGCTGCCGCCAGTCATGGGGACGTCTTTCTTTCCACGGCCCAGCAGTGGTGTCCACCTGTGGTCCAGCGAACCGAGCACGGCAGCCACTTTTCACGTGGCCAGACGGCGCGTTACTGACTATGGTGGCGGCTAACTCGGACGCTTCCGCGCGATTCTGGTGGCCATCTTGGTTACTGTACTCTTGGTGTGGAAGCCATCTTGGCCAAGCAGGGGCCTTGCTCGGATGTCGCTGCCTAGTCCTGGTGTCCGTTCCGGTCACCATGGTCCATTTGTGGTGGACAGTGGCCGTTTACGGCCCAACTGGTACCCATTTGGTAGTCGACTCCACTGGCCGTTTGGCCTACCCCGCTTGCCCGTGGCCTCCACTCACCTCCCTCTCGGAAGCCTCTTCCTTCTCCTCCTGCTTGGGCCCGGCTTCTGGCTGGCGGAGGCGGTGGTGATGCGGCGAGTCCTCGTGCCTTTCTCCTCCACCTGCCTCGGCCTCCTGCCACAGGCCGTGGCCCGTGCCCAGCACCTGCACACCCTTCTCCTCGGCCTCAAACTGGGCTGTCTCCTCGTCACTGGCCTGCTCTGCCACTCGCTTGTGGGGCCCCCCTCCACCCTCTGGGCGCCGCTTCCACGGGCCTTCGAAGGGTTCCACGGGCCCCCTCTTCTTCCTCTCCTCCTCCTCCTCCTCCCGCTCCTGCTCCTCCTCCTCCTCCTCCTGGTGGAGCCGGCTATGGAGCTGCTCGCGGATGGTCTGTTCCCGCACCTCAGACTTGTGGGCCCTCTCGGCTGCCTCTTCCTCATCCCTCGCTTCCTGGCTGGACCTCATCTTCCCAGCCTCTTGCTTCTTGAAATCCCCAACCAGTAGGCCTTTCTCTTTGGTGGACACACAGCCGTAGGGCTCTGTCTCACACATCTCTGGTGGAAAGAGAGAGGATGCTCTCTGTGCAGCAGAATCGGGAACCGGACCTGGAGGAGTTCTGGGGCCTGCCCGAGGCCCCACAGGGGGGCTGCCCAAAACCGGGAGAGGAGGGTCAGGTCTGGGGGATGTTCTCTGCCCCCATCCCGTACCTCTGCAGGGACCCCCCAGGGTGGGGCTGGAGGCCGGACGGGACACCGGGCGTGCCGTGCCAGCCCAGGCAAGGGGGCCCTGGGATGAGACCACCTTTCCTCCAGGCAGCCCCGGCCGGAACCCCGGGTGGGGTGGGGGCCCCCGAGAGGCTCTGGGGCCTGGGCCCTCCTTACCTTTGTGGAGGAGAGCTGTGCAGGGGCTTCTCTGGGCCTGGCCCAGCGTCAGCACTTCTGTGACCACTTCTGCCAGACAGCGGGTCAGCTGGGCGTGAAGGGTCAGAGGGGAGGTTGAGGGTAGGGCAGACGGGAGGAATGAGAGCAGTGGGAAGTTTGGGAGGGAGATGATCATGGAGGCCGGTCAGGGAGGGCCAGGGTCTGGGGAAGATGAGGCAGGGCAAGGGGTCTGCACTCCTCACCTCTTCCTTGGAAGGTCTTGGCGCCAAGGGAGCAGCGGTGGCTGTGGAAGAAGGAGGTGGGTGCTTGTACCCTCGGTACCCCGCGGGCACTGTCCTCGGTGCTGATCCACGGTCCTCTCCCCAGCCTACCTGCCAGGTGCACCGTCCCTACCTGGAAGCTCAGCCCGTGAAGTCTCTAGTCCAACCCCAATGGGTGCACCGTTCCCGCCCCCCGCACCCCCAGTCCCTGGTCCCTGAGCTGGCCGCAGAGGTGTCCTCTCCAGTTCCTGGCACTCACCGGCCCCCGGCAGCAGCGCCAGAAGCAGGGGCAGCGGCAGCAACAGCAGCAGCACGGAGGCGGGCCCGCGGTTCTGCATGGTGGGGCGTCGGGACCAGGGTGCTCGGCGCCGCGCCGGACGGCGCGGCAGCTCCTTATAACCCGCGCCAGTGGCCCCGCGGGGGAGGAAGTGACGTCATCACCGCCCCTTCCCCGCCCGCGCCGGGGTGACAGCTGCCGGGCGGCCACCCGCCGGAGACCCTCAATTATTCATGGAGACCCACGTCCCGCACCCGCTCCTCTTCCAGCTAATGGTCCCGGAGCGTCAGCATGGAGGGAGGGTGCTTCCCCCAGAGAGACACAAGAGACACGGTCTGTTGAGCTTAAGGCTGCACGGGGAGGGCGACCTGAGTTCGAATCCAGCGGCAGCCATTCACAGATAGACCTCAGGCAACTCCTTCCCTTCTTTGGCCTTTTCCTCATCTGGAGATTTGGGGGTCCTAAACCTACTTCCGCAGAGGTGGTGGCTGGGTTCCGCCTGAATCCCAGCTCCACCACGGCCAGCTGTGCAGCCTGGGAAAACTGCCAGACCTCTCTAGGATTGGGTTTATGCTTTGTGAGACAGCGCGGGTGGCCACCTGCCCCACAGGTGAGGGGTAAATACATAACGGGTGCGTAAGGTCATTTCGACAGTGTCTGGCCCTGGGAACTACACCCGTCCCAGCACCCTCAGTCCAGTAGCTTTTGTTGAGCACCTACTATATGCCCCGCCCTCTCAGAAAGCCCGGGTGACGGCAGTGAACAAGCAGGCAAACTTCCCTGTCCTCTCGGGGCCGACATTTGAGAAGGGGAAGACACAACGCTCAACTCCGCGCCTATAAGGAAGGAGGAAATGACCACAGACGCCTGCATCACACAGCGCGAGCGGCTTTTCCTTTGGCCGGCCAGGGAAGTCCTCTCTGAGGAGGTGATATGTGGGCTAAGGCCTGAGTCACAAAATGGAGGCAATCACACAAGATTGAGGGGAAGAGTAGCCACAGAAGGGACTAGCCAGCGCAAAGGTCGGAGTCAAGAATGAGTCTGCAGACTGGGGCGCCTGGGCGGCTCAGTCAGTTAAGTGTCTGACTTCAGCTCAGGTCACGATCTCGTGGTTTGTGAGTTTGAGCCTCACGTCGGGCTCTGTGCTGACAGCTCAGAGCCTGGAGCCTGCTTCAGATTCTGTGTCTCCCTCTCTCTCCGTTCC